ATGGGATATAGGAGTTATAATGAAGTTCATAGGGCTTCGGGTTATGTAGGGCTTGAGATTGGAGGGTTAGGAATAGGGACATGCAGTCGTGAACGAGTCCTTGCACCCCTTGCATTCCAAGAGCACCTTCCTGAGCTCTCGCCTGTGTGATCCTCCCTTTTTCCACATCTTGTGAACCTGTTCGGGAACCTGATAGTTCCCCTTCTTGTCAGCTTTGCAAACTCGCCGGAGGACAGCTTCCAGCTTGGCTTCTTCGGCTTTGGACAGAGTCTCGAGTCTGGGGCGGCGTGTAGCAGCCTCAGATTCGCAGAAATAACAAAGCCCTTTGGCACACCCAGACCCACACACAGACACACACACACACACGACACACGGCCATACCAAGTCAGGGGTCTCGAGTTCTCTTGCCAAGAGGAGCAGGGGCCGTGGGCTTGGCATCCCCATCAGAAGCATCATCTTCGGTCTCATCGGCGGATTTGTCGGGCTCGGGTTTGGCTTCCTGGTACAAAAGGGATGACAGGTTTCGGGCAGTAGCTGTAGCATCCTATTGCTTGGGTTCGTCTACAGTATAAACAAAAATCGCACGGACCTTCAGCGGCGTGCCGTAGTAGATATCCGTCTCCTTGTCGAACAGGATTGCATCCCAGACACAGAACATGGAGCAACACCGAACGACTAGTAGTGCTATTGCATACCAAGATTCTGCAGGATTCCAATTCTCCTCGCCCGAGGAAACCTCGACCATCTTCTGCTGCAAAGCGTACTGAAGAATCTCGTCCCCACTGCCATCTGATGTCTCAGGTGGTGCAAGGGACAAGACATGGGTCGGACCAGGCGGGTCGGACACAGCATTGTCGAAGCTGCTCATGAGGGACTTCCTGGGTGTCCCCTTGGGCATCGGATTTCCAGCTTTGGGACTCGGCTTAGGACTTGACAGCTTGGGGGGCGAAGCCTTTGGGCTCGGTCTGCGACTTGACAGCTTGGGGGGCGAAGCCTTCGGGCTCGGCTTAGGACTTGACAGCTTGGGCACCGAAGCCTTCGGGCTCGGTTTGCGACTTGACGGCTTCGGCGTGAACTTTGGGCTCGGCTCGGGGATCGGAGGTTCTCGGCTGGAGGCTTTCGGAGTGGCGAGGCTGAGGTCCTTCTGGGTCGACTTGAAAGGTGTCGGTAGCTCATCCGACGGAAAGGTCGGCTGAGCATCCTCCCCATTGTCCACCAGTGTCTCCTGAGCCTGCAGACCTGACGAAGTAGCCCCACCAGTAACCGGAGGGCTTCGGGGAGGCCTTTTGGCACTTGGCTTAGCCTTGGGTCGCCTCTTCTCAGGAGTAGCCTTCTCCTTCCCCAACCCATCATCGTCAGCCTCATCTGCACATGCTCGCTTCGAATTTTTTCCTTCGAAGCCTTGGCCTCTTGCTGGGAGGCTCGTCCTGGGCCTCTTCTTCGGTCTCATGTGCACGAGGAGGCGGGGTTGTCATCTCGGCAGCCTGAAGGGCCTCCAAAGACTGTAGCAGCTCCTTTGCCTCCTGCACATATGAGCAGATCTGGTTGATTTAGTGTAGGGTTCAGCAACTTAAGTATGTATACTGTGTAGCACAACAAGTCCTGCAGCTGCTCGGAAAGAGGCTTCGATTCTTCTTTCACAGCAATCTGCTGTGAAGGCTTTCCAGGCTTGCCCCTTTTCTTCGCCATAGCAACCCCTCTAGCTACCCAAGTCTCGAACTTAAGAGGATTGCAGCAGCAACACGATGGAACAGATCACAGTCAATCTTGGTAGCACAATCATCACTTGCACTCTCCAAAAAAGCAACAAAAAGCAAGGCAAAACTCGACCTACGCTTTTTTGCGCCA